AAAAAATGAATAAAGCCATAAGCACACAAGACAAAAGTGGACTAATTTCTCTCGTCGTTTTCATAATCATCAATGGATACAATTAATTAAGTAATTATTAAATAGGCACATCGAGTTGATTAAATATTTCTTTTTAGTACGATTAATTTCATTTATGCAATTTTAATATGCGCGAGTTTTATTATTATTAATGGTATAATATTATTATACGATAGTATTATTATTATTGGTAATTACGTTGTTATCATCATCATCATCATCAATCATCAATCATCGATCATCATAGTTATCAGATAAAACTAGATAAGTTCTTTTTAAGAAAAATTTTGAGGAATGAAAAAAAAAATATAAAAGAAAAAGAAAGAAAAAGAAAGGACGTACCTAACCTCACTTTCAATGTACATAGAAAGAAGGGACGACACCATTAGATCACATTAATTTATCTTGGTGCCTCTCGATACAAAGGCACTCGAGAGACTTACGATGCTAAATTATCGTGGACCCAACAGCTATCGCGGCCCTATATGTTTATTTACTAATAGTTAATACAATTTTATTTGCGGCACACTACCTGCTTTACTTTGTTTTTACTATTTTGTTAGTTTTTATAATTCCTCTCACTGTGTATACGGTAACGTACCTAAAACTCCTTTTTTATATTTATAATATATATTATACACTACTTATATATGTGCATATATACATATAGATTAATATATATGTGTCTGTTGCGTAATTTTTTTTTTACATATGCATTCACACACACACACACACATATATATATATATTTATATAAAATTTCCTCTACGGTTTTCATTATTAGTAAACCATTTCACGCTTTCTCTCTTCGTTCATTCATTCATTTATTCTATCTTTCTTTCTTTCTTTCTTTCTTTCTTTCTTTTGTTTTCTACGTATAAAATATCTCTAATTAAACTCTGGACGTAAATCACTCTAATCAACACACCCATTATTAATCCCCATATACTATACGAGTTATCATACAGCTACATATAAATAATATGTATGCGTGTCCTGCGTGTGTATATATAGCTGTATGTATATATATATGATATATACATATATATATACATACACTTATTGTATTATTGAATAGTTCGCAAAAAACAATATCTCAGCATCATTCTATGTAAAACCACAAGAGACAGACAATATCAGTCCACACAAAAGTAATAATGCTCATTCGAGCTAAAGGAGGCTTCAAGAACCATATGTGCAACTTATTTTCCCTTCATTTATTTCTTTTTTTTTTTTTCCTTTTATTTCTTTTCTTCAAAATAAGAAGAGAGCCATTCCATTAATATTTATGTACAAATCAACTTTCAAAACTTTACCTCATTAATATAGTTCATTCGGATTGAAATATATATATATATATATATATATATATATATATATATATATATATTCCTTCTAAGAGATATATAGAAACTTTTGTTCTTACACCTGACGTGGAAAAGTGTGAGAAGGAAGAACACGATTTAATGAGTGAAAAGAATTAGAGAAATTATTAGGGATTTTAATATCCCTTTTGATAATATTATGTACAGATTCTTTAACGTTATCATTACAAAGAAATGGAGTTTATACAAATGAGAAATATGGTATATGCTAGTGATAAATACTGTTGTATGTGTGATGTAGCATCGTTTCATAATGATTACAAAGCAATTATTATTTCTTTATAATTTTTTAAACTTTCTTCGTGCACTATATGTATCATATTTCATTTGGTGAAATCTAATACACATTTGTGCATTATTTGTCTAAATATACAACCACGTCGAAATGCAAGAATAAGAAATATGATAATAGATAATGTTTTGTTAGAAAATTACCGAACATTTAAATAACTAAATTTCGATTTTAAAAAATAGCGGCTATTTATAGTAGTAGTAGTAGTAATAATAATATTAATAATAATAATAATAATAATAATAATAATAAAAATAATAATAATAATAATAATATTAATAATAATAATAACAAGGAGTAGACGAAGACAAAAAAAAATAAAGTAAGTTAATAAATAATAATGAAGCTATTCAAGAAGGTACAGTTCATTTTACATATATATATATATATATATATATATATATATATATATATATATATATATATATATAATATTATATATGTGTGTAATATATGCGAACACTAAGCAATCTCTTTGTTAGAAAAAATTCTAATCCAACGAGTCAGTAAATTCAATCACTAAATTCTGTAATACACTTTGTACAATCAGTTATCTGAACGAGTGCCCTTCGCATCTACTAATTATCTCCTAATGATAAGAAATCTTGTATTACTTCCTAAATGAAAAGAGCCCAAAAAAAAAAAAAAAATAATAATAATAAATACCTACATGCATTTCTTTTCCTACATGAATAATGTATCTCGTATGCATGTTAATAGGGTAACACATGTATATTTGTTTGAAATATATATATATATATATATATATATATATATATATATA